CCTCCAAGGTGTGTGCAGAGGGTTCTGTGAAGCAGTTTCCGAGTTTTGATATTGATAAGGAGTTTTTATGTGATTTTTAAAAAAGCACAATTATTTTAGTTACCTCAAGCTTCTCAAAGGACATTTACACTCTTCGTTCTAAAACAGTAAGCTTGTAGAATTCTGAATTTTTCATGGAAGTACTTTTTTCATCTTAATTACTTTATACCGATAGCTTACTTTTTTGCTGCGGAGAAAACATTGTTCAGACCCACGACTTGAATCCTGGCTGTGGAACCTTGACCGCTTAATCTGTGACACCTGTTTCCTCAGCTCAGACTAATAAAATCGAATTAATAATTGTAGCTATTTTATAGAGTTCCTCTGAGGAGTAAGTAAATGTAAAACAGCATAATTCTTATGCTATTATACATTCTAAATGACTTAACGACAATGTGGGCTCATTAATTTATCTTTTATGTTAAAGTAGAATATAGGCTTCTTTTCAAATGAGGCTGAATTAATGTATGCCTCATTACACTTTTACTAATGTCAGTATGGAAGTGAATGAGCTTAAGAGATAATAAAATTATGAACCCTTTCATATAACCATCCAGTACTCCACTCCAATAATTGTTAAAGTTCACTGGTTCTTCTTTCATTTTCCATCACAGCATCAGGTTTTGTTTTAGCTGGAGTGTTTTCAGGCAAGTCGCAGAGAATATGTTGGTTTACTTGTAAATGCTTACAGATCCTGTAGCACGTAAGATCTTTGCTTGAGTGTGGCTTAACAAAAACTTTGTGATGCCACCCAGAATTAACAATAACTCCCTAAAATCTGCAGTCCAGTAGTTGTTCAATTTTTGCTTATTTTTAAGTTATAATTGCAGTTTTTGACAAACGTGTATTTTTGTAGTGCTTTACAGATTACCATGTGATTTAACATATACTCTTCAGCCCTTTAGAAATTATATTATTTCAGATCATGTACCTCAATAAATGGTTAATAAAAGACAAATTAATTTGGATACTTGTTAGTAATGATATGGGACTGGCTAAGGAGCCAGATGTGAGTGTTAATCAGCTTACTTTTTAAAATCATAATTAATGACTTCAGTTTAAGAACACATATCAAAACATTAATCCATCTAAACTTTTTTCTAATACTAGGCATTGAATATAGAGCCTTCACAGTCAGCTATATCATAAGCCCTGTTTTATTTTGAGACAGAATCTGCTTCAGTGTCCCAGAGTGCTACGATTACAGGCATGGAACTTGAATTTCTTAATAACATGTTGCTTCTTTGAAGGGATTATATGAGTAAAATATAATTATTTACCTTTGTGCTGAAAGACACACAAAGTAGCTTTACTCAAATCACCTTGTATCTCTAAATATACAATGTTTTTGTATCGATAGATCTTTGTTGTGTCTTGTATCTTACTGCCTTCTGTTCTCAGAAAGATACACAGATCCTCATGCGTTAATATGTGAATCATCCGTCTTATACTTCTGAAATGTCTGTAGGTTGATAGATGTGTGTGTATGTGCATGCAAGGAATATTTCAATGTTTCCCAATTTCTTAAGTGTAATGTATTCCACATCAATTCAAAAGCTAAAAAAGCAGTGAATTTTTTCATTTATATATAAAGATTATATTCATCATGGGGAGTTGATACATGTACATTACATGTATTAGTTATTTTTATGTATTTTCCCCCTCCTTTTAATGATAAAATCAAACTCAGGACCTCCTTCTTGAATCAATATCAGTTGTGAGTGACTACTGTAAAGTTCAGAATGTTTTCAGTTTAACGTGCTTTAGACAGTTTTGGTTTTTTTTTTTTTTAATATTGTTTATTTGGTAGAGGGTCTAGCTACGCAGTTCGGACTAATAGTGATCCTCCAGTCTCAGCCTCCCCAACGCTGGGATTACAGGCATGCACCACCACACCTAGTTTCAGTGGCCAACACAGCGCCGGGTCCCACACAGCATGCAGTACCAGGGATCAAACTCAAGGCCTTATGCTTGCCAGGCAGGCGCTTAGATCACTGAGCCCTGCCCTAGACAATTCTTTTTTCATTGGAATAAGAGAAAATTTTGCCTTATGGCCAAATAATTGAAGTCAGAGATTTTCTCTCCATTATTTTCCTCTCTTCACTCACCCAACTCCTCCAAATTCTCAAAATGATTCATTGTGAGTAAATCAAACTTGGAAGCAGCAGGGCTGTTTCGTCCTCATTTTAAATACATAAAGATAATGTAAAGTTGTTTATGTTGCAATCTGTCATTCCAGATATTTCAGCCATCCAGAGACAACTTTCCATTTGTATAATGTAACAGAAAAGTTCTGGAAACATTAAGCAAATTGAAGTGCAGAGCCGTTTAAACAAGATGAACATCTCTGGAAGTGGTTGTGGAAGCCCTAGTTCTGCAGATATATCTAATGATTTTAAGGAATTTTGGACAAAGCTGAAGGAGTGTCATGATAAAGAAGTACAAGGTAAACACTTATTAAGGGAGCGGTGTTTTGTCGATACTGTAATAGTAAAACTAACTTTGACAGTTTTTTTTATATATTTATAGAAGAAGTATTTTTAGTTTCAAATCAATCTCAGTCTCTTTGTCTCCCTCCCTCTTTTTCCCCCACCCCTCACCCCTCCTTTTCCCTCTCCTTGGGCATGCTACCATTGAGCTACATTTCCATTCCTTCTTTCCTTTTTAAATTTTGAGATAAGTTCTCACAGTTGCCCAGGCTGGCTGTGAACCCTTAATCTTCCAGCCTTATAAATAGTGGGATTACAGATGTATGCCATTGTGTACAGATAAGTATTCTATCTTAAAGGGGCAGTTACTATTGTAAATTTTTCCAATTGTGGAATTACATTGAAACTACCATGGTAAATTTAGTTCTTGGCAGAACTTTAATATAATAGCCTCATCATTAATTAATGAATTTTGAACTATGAACCCCAAAAGTAATCTTGCATGTCCCACTGTATTTGGAGGCACTTGTTCAAGAAATACATGTTGGGTACTTAAAGTGTGCCAGACCTTGTAAGAGTGAATCATGTGTAAGCGCTAGTTTTGAAGGCCATGTTGTCTTTATTTTGGTTTTGTTTTTTTTTTTAGAAACCAAGGTTGTGTACCCCATGCTGGCCACACAGGTCAAGATCCTCCTGCCTCAGCCCCCCCAAATGCTGGGATTATAGGCAATGTGCCACAATAACTCATGGGAATTTCTAATCTAGAATTTTAATGCAGAGTTCCCATATTATTTGGGAACTTAAGGGAAGAAACAGAAGTATGTGTATGTCTGTGATTTACTATTAGACCAGCTTTATACTTGGTTAATTCTATTTAAGTTAAAGTGAGGAGGAGGGAAGAATTTTCTGAGACAACAGCATTGGCTGAAATTTGGAGGTAGAGCCTGATTTTTATCCAAGTAATAAATTTTAAACAGTTTGATAAAAGTGAAAAGTTGTCCTGTCAACACAAGGAAGTAACTCCTTTTATTATTTTTGGGAGTTTATTTCAGAATGAAAGTATGTCCTTTTGCATTTGTTTTTTAAAAGAAAAGTTTACACATACAAAAAAGTAAAGATAGTGTTCGTTGGTGATAATAATACAGTAAATTACATGTACTTTTTTAGGCCTGAGGAGAAATAGTCCCCCAGCTTCTATTGAAGAGTGGCAATATCCTCTTTTTGGTTTTAATTCTGTTGTCCAGGTATATAGATTTACTAATAAGAACATCTTCAAGTTTATTACTGCAGAATTATTTCTACCTATTATAAAAATATTTTTTTGAACTAGAAGCAAGTAAAACAGTTTGCAGTAATTTAAACAGGATAGATGTACTTGGGTTTTCAGTAAACATTTAACATAGAGCTATTTGCATTCTGCCATCTTTTAAGTGTAATATTAAATTCATTATCCTTCAAATTTCTGTAGAAACTGGTTTTAAGCTGTTTTGCATTTTTACCTATCTTATACATCAAAGTTCTCTGAGTAAAATTGCTTGTCACATAGTAAGAAATCAGTATCTAAATGAATTTCAGTTAGTAGTTGGATCCATAAAACATTTTCTTAAACTCAAAATTTTTAAAAACTCATGATGTATTGGCCTAGAGAGATAGTTCTGTGGCCTAAGTGCCTGTCTGGCAAGCACAAGGACCCAGGTTCAATCCCTGGCACCACATACCATGCTAGCCCCAGGTTCCTGGTTGTACCATGCCAGCCACTGAAACTAGGTGTGGTGGCAACCCCTGTAATCCCAGTGCTGGGAAGGCTGAGACAAGAGTATCACTACAAGTCCAAGCTGAATAAGGAGACCCTGTACCAAATAAATGAATAAAAGATTTTTTTAAAAAACTAGTAACATATGAAAATACCAAATTTTGTATGCAAAATCCTGAAGCATTTACTGTAGTTTTTACAGTATAGGTTCTGCTCTATAAAGTTAAGAGAGCAAGCAAAGTCACTACAACAAAAGACTTGTCTTTTCAATGAGGATGGCCTTGTGCATGCTAGGCAAGCATTCTATTACTAAATTACACTACCAGCTTTCTTTCTGAGTATTAAAAGAATTGCAAATAGGTTGTTGTATTGTGGTCATTGAGCATATTAATTTATATCTTATTTTGCTATCATTTATTTAAACTGCTGGAAAAAATAAACTGCTGGTATTTTTCATGTTATATATAACCCTCACTTTAAAATTTTTATATATATATCCATTGCTATGGTTGTGGATAATTGTCCCCCAAAAAGTCTATATATTAAGGGCTTTAGTCCTGGGTGGTGCTGTTGGGATGTGCTAGAACCTTTGGAGGTAACTCCAGTAGAGGTTGCTAGCTTGTTGAGGGCTTGCTTGGTCTTCAAGTGGATTGTGGGACCCCAGCCCCTTCGTCTTTTTCTTTTACTTCCTGGCCATGAGCTAAACAGTTTGCTCAGCCAGGCACTCCTTGCCATTACCAGCTTGCTCACCAGAGCTCTAGAGCAACGAGTTCTTTTGATCTTGGACCAGCACCTCCAAACTGTGAGCCATCATCAGCCTTTTCTCCTTATAAGTTACTTATCTCACTTTGTTATAGATAACTGACTAACCAGCTTAGCTAGACTAGTTCTGTTTAGTTTTT